AAAAAAAAAAAAAAAAAAAAAAAAAAAAAAAAAAAAAAAAAAGGAGCTGACGGTATTAAAAAAATCAGAGACGGAGACTGTACCAGATCTAGGGCTTTCGAAAAGGTCGCGATCTCAGGCGAAATAGTGTCAACATGCTTCGGTCAAGTTCTTCTTTCCGACCATTTCGTTGGGGGAAATGTGAAGGGGAAGCGGTTTTAATTTGGTCAAGTTGCTGTCTCCTCTCCTCTCTCCCAACGTTTTTCTTCCCAAAATCTTCCGTCTTTTGTCATTTTGCGTTATGTTTGAAGCTCCTTCTCCCGTTGGATAAAACACCAATATTTTCATCCTTTAACTATTCTTTTATTTTATTTTAATCTTTTTTTTTTCTTTTTAAATTATCTTTATATTTTTAACCTTCATTTATTTATTTATTTTAAATAAATTCTCGTATTTTATATAAATATCTACCAACTCCCCTACTAATTTCATTCAATTCTTCTGCGATTCATTTACACCTCCATTCTCCATTTATCGTAGAGGAAAGTTAACTAACAACCCGATAACATCCCTTTACAGTTACGTGAGAAGAGCGGTAGATAGAAATGGACTGGGTATGCTTCTTTTTTGTTAAGAATATGTCAATATGATCTTAATAAGGTGTTGAGATTTGTATATGAGATTCGTTGGGCTTCTCTTTTTGGGGTATGCATCCCGACGTTTTTGTGCAATAAATCCCTCCGATCGAAGACTAGTGATAGATGGTTCGAGCTGTTGTAGAAGAGTAACTTAGTGTATTAAGTACAACAATAAACAACAATTAAGACCGAATCTCTTATTTATATATTCAACATAATTCATGTAATTAACTAACATGAGAGATTGAGTTTTTGAGTGTTTTTGGGTAATATTAACATTTAAAACACTTATATTATTATAATTTGTAACAAATTTTCAAAGCTGAAGGGTAGTATGGAATCGATTCGTAAAACAGCGAACGATTCTTTTTTATTATTATTATTTTTTTTTTCCCTCCATGTTAGCTGTCTTAATGTTCCAGGACATGTGTGGCATCGTCTTGTGGTGCCACGTGGCATGTGCATGCAGGCACAACCTAATGTCTGAGCCACTTACGTGTCGAATTATTAATGAGGATGAGGATCGCCAAATAGTTTCCAATTTTGCTGTTCCAACAGACATTGTAGCTTGTAACTTGTCCGTTGGAGATCGTTACACCATCATCACATTAATTAGTTAATTAATGCCTAAATCATATAACGTTATATTTTTTTATAATGGATATAGAAACAAGATCGATCGTACTTACATCCTAGCAAATATTAATTAAATAAATAAACACAAATATTTATGTAATTTGAAAATAAAAAATTCCCCTACATCTACGGGTAGTAATAAATCACTGTAACTTAAGTGTTTATAAGTGTATCTCTCACACTCTCACACTACAAAATCTCTCTTACTAAGTTTCTTATAACTATCTATAAACCCATATTTCAAAATAATACTAGACCAACTTTTATATAGCTATAACAATATTAATGTTATACATAGATCGAGATAATTCGTGTATCAGTATGGGATGAACCAAGTGAATTTCAGAGGAGTAGTATGAAAGATGTTTTTAAATACTTTTTAATGAATAACTTGTATTTTTTATTAATAAATTTATAATTTAACCATATTTCTAAAGCTAAAATTTCAATAGTATATATATGGGATAGGATTGGGTGTGACACGACCCAAAAATTAATTGGAGAAATCTTCTCCAACACTCAGCAAAGACCTGAAGTCAACGAGTCAACAAAATCAACGGCCGGATTTGGAAGTAACTGATTTAAGAGAAGCGGACACATCTACCGCACGCTATAAAATGGTTTATAAGATTATTTTCGCTCTATTTTTCTACGGTTTCATTAAGTCTCTCGATTTCCCGCCAGACGAATTGGCGCGAATCTGAATCTCGTCTCTTCTAATATTTCTTCTGTTGGTAGAACTAGCCCTAGATCTCTCTCCCGCCTTTTTTCTGTCACTGGATTGCCCTGTTTCGCCTTCTGCTCGTTGATCCCCTTCCTCCTCCGTCGTCTGTCAGCCTCGACGCCAGCGATTGAAAGAGTCCGATCACTGGTTAGTCAGTACTTGCTTTTGCTTTTCTGGTACTATTGTTCGAATCGGCGGCGGTCGATTATTTGATCGGTTTTGCAAATATTCCCTTTTATTTCGGAATTAGTTTGATGCATTTTTTATTTTGATATTGGGATCTAGACATTTGGACGAAACATTGGACATTAGCTCCGGAAGTTTAATTAGCTGAGTTGTTTAGCACGTTCATTAATTCTTATACTTCAGGCTTTTTGGTTGATCGGAATATCTTTCTCTAAGGTCCACGGATTAATAGGAACAACGTCCTACGGATTGATAGAATGTTCATTCATAACGTCAACTAGATTTAGTTCTCTAATGTCCATGGTTAAGTCGACGTGTTTATTTTAGTGAAAATGAGCTGTCTCCTTTCCGAAAGGAGAACTGTTCAATTGGCCGAGTATTGTTAATGTCGAGATCTGGATTTAACAATTTAATATATGAGTATAAAGTAAATTATGAATGTGTATTGTGGAGGATTTACTTGGCGATGACTGGTATTTTTCACGCCTTGCTAGTTTTCTGGCTACTGACCTTTGTTTCTGCACAAACGTGTCAATCCTTTTGTTCACCCATAATTTGGGCGACGAGTCACGAGGTCACAAGGTTTTCAACTATATCGGACTCGATTGTAACAATGTTCCTCAATTTCCCATTTTGGAGCAGTCTTATTGAAATTTTCCTTGAAATTGAAGATGAATAAGTTTTTTGGGCGGTGGACCTACACTATTTTGATCCTCAATTTTCACTTTGTTGTTTAGAATCATGCTGTCTTGATGAATTTATTGCTACCATTACTTAATAACTATTTTTCACGGCAGGAGAAGCATTATCTCTGTTCAGCGAGGGGAAGAATTATACTTATCGAATGGAATTAAGAAGTTTCAGTCATTTGCATTATATCAATGTCACTAAAGGTGGTGCGATGTCAAAAGTTCTAAACGTCAACTCCCATGGAAAGCCTGCAGTCGTATTTAAGAAGCTTACTGACATATATGAATCTATAGATGACAAGACTCAAGAATCACTTCCAAGACGATGGTCGAGGGAAGGTTTGGAAGAAAATATTCCTGATGAATGTGAGTTTAAGGTGGAAACCCAAGTTCTTTACGCAGAAAGAAAACTATTCAATAATGAGCCCGAAGTTTCTGATTCTGACAGTAAGGGTGATACCGATGGGCAAAAGAGTGATGTAGAAGTTGATAGCATGACTTTAAAGCAGATAACAGAAGGCTGCAAGAAAAGAAAGTTGAGGCAGTCGAGATCCGTTGACTCAAGTAAGGAAAAACTGAGGACATGTTCCAGACGAGAACTAGATCATGCATGCTTGTTATCTGACGAGGATGATAGTGATCTTAATGTAGCTCTTAACATCTGGAAATCCAAACTTTCTAAACGTAGAAAATTGAAAACCAAATGTGACGAAAGCAGAATATCTACTAGTTCACATTGCGGCCAAACAATTGGAAATTCTGACCCGATCAACAGTGATCAAGATCTCCATCCATCTGGTTCAGATCTACCCGTTCCAGTAGACATTAAAGTTGAAACTCCTGAACCCGATGTGTCAGAAATCCAAAGCACAAACTATAAAATTGATGAGTGGTCTCTATTTTGTGATGAAAATATAAACTCGTGTCTGAAACACGGGCCTAATGGAGCTGATGAATCAATTTTTTATCCGAAGTTGACAACATCTGAGAAAGAAGCTGAATATTGTGTTCTAAACAGTGCATGTCATGAATATTTGGAAGATGATGAACCCAAAACTCTTCAGATGGTAGGGGAATCTAGCAACGAGTGGATGTATGAAGATAACCTGGAGGAGCATAAACCCCATTATTCAGATTTTCCTGCATCAGAGAGCCTGGAGGGGCAATGTACCCCAGGTTATATATCCAATTACAGCATGTCAGAAGCCATTTCCTCGACTAAGGAACAGCTCTCTGGCACTTATATTACAAACGAGGTCATATTTCAGAATAATAGTGAAGATATGTCTGAAGCAATTGCCCCGACCGAGGAACAGTGCTGTGACACTTATATTTCACAATGTATACCCTTTACACACGATGTCATATGTCTGAATAATCTGAATAGCCTCAAAGTCCAAGAGACGAGTCCTGAAGCTGAAGTATGTTTAACTGAGATCAGTTATAAAGACAAGTTGGCATTTGTTCATGAAAAAGGTACTCCAACAGAATCTAACAGTAATTGTAACTTGCGCCCTGATCATGGAAAAAGAATTTCAACAAATTCTATCAGTGATGGTAACTTGAGTCCTGATCAGCATTTGATATCTACTGGCGAATGTCCAGCTACGGAGAGACAACCACAAATGTCTAATTATTATGATTCAGAAAGGAATACTCCACCAGATTTTCATCTTGATGGTTCTTTGGACAAATTTTATCAAACTGAAGAACCTAAACGTCATCCAACAAGGCTGCTGTTAAAGAGGACAGTAAGTTGAATCTAATTGATGTAATATTTGGTTTTAAATTATGCGGAGGTTGTTTATATTATTGTGCTTTCACTTTCAGTCCATTTCTCCAACATCTCAGAAAAGATTGTCGAAGGGTATGAGGTCTATGCAGTTACATGACAAAGAATACAAAAGTAAGTTCCTGAAGTTAGACATTGGTTTAGTAAGTTCCTTAGCACTAATACGTGGGAAGTGGGTTCGTTTAATAAATTTTTTACTTAATTATTTTATTTTATAATTTATTTTTATAAGCATATGTGAAATCCTAGAGAAATCCTAAAAGTATATTTGTGACTAGTCCTATAGTTTGGGAGTAGTTTGTTCACTTTTCGTTTTCATTTTCCTAATTTTTCTCTTTTCATTTTAGCATGTAGTGGCAAACCATATTTCAACCAAATCAAGTACAGGGATGGCTCAGCTGAAGAGTGTGACCAGATGAAGATAGTGCATTCGGATACATATCATAAGCAAAAGATTAGGAAATCAAAGAAGAGAAGTCTTCACTCAGCGAGCACCACTGTAGTTCCTCAAGCTAGCATGAGAAGCACTGCTGTCCAAAATTGTTCAGACAGTGCAATTGCATTCACACAAAGGCAGATGCAGGACATAGAATGTCTTGCTCTGAAACTTACAAATCAGTTAACGTCAATGAAAGCAATTGTTGACGACAGACTTCATGTTGAAGGAAACCAAGCTACAAGTTTCAAGTTTAACACGGATGAGGTAACTAAACATATATGGGAACACAACTTAATCGACAGCATGAGTACTATTACTTTATTGAAAAATTGAATTTTCCATGTTCCCTTGCAATATTCATGTTTAACAAGCCTACTTCAGATAATTATTGGACGTGATCTTCGGAGAGCTTTCATTATTAATATCCTTTGGCATTAATTAGAATATAGGAACGCGTTTGTAAAGTCTTTAATCATTTACCCCACTTTCCCTTAGTATTTATTACCTAGGATGTATTAAACTGTAAGTTTCAATCCTGCACGCCAAGTGTTTAACCAAGTCATGCAAGGGCTTTGGCAATTATTTCGGGGAGATTTATTTTTTCACTTCTCGAGGTTTTTGCTGGTGGGGAATCATGTTCAATAAAATTCTTCCTTTAACCTATTGCCAGCTTCTTTTGGGGGATAACTCGGCGAAAGATAAATGGATTAAAGGGTTAATTGGGTGCTGCTTATGTCAATTGAGGACATTGCTCCTTCCTGTAACTTCTTGTTGAACTTTAGACATTTAGCACAGATTGTTGCTTAGATTTTGGTATACCGGCAATTAGGACCTGAACTTCCCATGCAACTATTATGTTGTCCCCTCATGTATTATTCTGCACTTTGGCAGGTGCGAACGGCCGTTGCAGACGCCACGAAAGCAGAAGCGCAAGCAAGAAAATGGCTTTCCATAATGTCGAGGGACTGCAGCCGCTTTTGTAAAATAATGGTTAGTACCTCAGCATTATCCGATTTTTCTTACAGAAGGAAAGTACTGAATTTTCTTCCCTTAACTGCAGAAAACAACCGAGCATGGTTCAAATGTTTCTTCTCTAACTGCAATCCAGAAGTTGAAGAGGAAGATTACATTTGCTGATGAAGCTGGTGGAAAGCTTTGTGAAGTTAGGTTGATCGAGGACGGCATCAAGTAACTTCGTAAAGCCTTTCTACTTGGTTATTTACTTATACTGAATCATTGTTCTCTTGAGATTTTTTTTTTTTTTTTTTTTGTAAATTCCCATGTCTCGTATAAAATAAAGTGCAGCCAATGGATTCTATTGAGGAAATTAAATCATTATTATCGTTCCTTTTTCCGCATATTAAACCACAATGAGTTTGACCATGTTATAAGATAAGATCGAGTTGGAGGGTAAACATTCTTTATAATGATGTAGAAATATTTTCTTAACAAACTCGTACAATATCGGTTAGTGGTAGGTTTGAATGTTTAGAAATGGTATCAGAGTCAAACATCAAATTGATGTGCGAGTGAGGACGATGGACTCTCGAAAGGAGGTAAATTGTGAGATCCCGTATTGAAGTGGTAGACCGGTTTTAAAACTTATAGGATTACTCTAAAATAAAATGGTAGGTAGATGGATAGGCCATCATTTGTTTTGAGTGGGAATCGTAGAACAGAAACTCCCAAACCTCGGAAAAAGCTCCAACTATAATCCCATGATACTCCGGCGAGTTCAACGCCAAATAACACTGCAAAAGGTCCTCCAATCCCTTCGCCTCAAAAATCTCCTTCTCCAATATCATCTGTACCATTGACCTCTTGAAATCTCCTTGTGGTTCCTTCGATCTCTTGACCTGCACTAAGCTCTCCCCCATTTTCCATTCCACTTGACTTGGACAGGACGCGATTTCGCTTCTCTTCACCGGCGATCCATCGGAGAAGAAACTAATGGAAGAGTTCAACAATGCCTCTGTTCCTTCGCCTTCCTCTCCCTCGTACCCATACGACTTGTGCTTTGCCACGAATGCCTTGCTTTTAAGCCCCGTTTTCTTTGATTTCTTCATCTTCCACTTCTTTCTGGTTATCCAAGAAAATGGGGAACGCTGATTCTCCTCGCCTGAAATTTCATGCTCTGTTTCGGCTCTGTTTTCTTCCACTTGCATTAGTCCGTTTGCCCGAGCGTATGATTTCAATTTGCAGCTGATGCAGACTGATGTGGACTCTTCTGTTGAAAAATCTGCGAAGAAACCCACTGGCGTTGATGGCGGTGGCGATGGTGGATTGTGGTAACAGCCGTAGCAGGATTTGGGGTTAGCCGGCAATTGCTTCTCGTAGTGGAAATTTTCCGGCGAAGGGGTTATGGGGAAAGTTAAAGGGTGTGGGTGTTTGGGGCGGCAGAATCGGAAAGAGGAGATGAAGAGACGGACTTTGAGCTTGAAACTTCTGCCCATGGAGAGAAGGGAGGAGGATGGCCGGCGAATTGCTCTGTTTCCCTGTGTATAAATAATTGTGATAAGAGACAGTGGCCGGCCGGCAGCTAAGTTGAACCAATAGGGTTGTGGTTTGGACCAAATCCCAACTGATGACTAGAGGTTTAGTGGTATTTAATTGTGTAGAATTTTTCATATGAGGTGTAGTTGTATAATTGGCCGTCATTGCATGGAAACCTTAAAAAACTTAAGAAATCTAGAAAACAAAACAATATTTGTGAATTTAAGCTGTTATAAATGATCTGAGAGCTCAGAGTCAAACATTAATGTGCCAGAAAAGACATTGAACCATTCTTATAAATGATATAAGAGTCAGACACCAGTATGCTTGTTACGACGACGTTAGATTCTAGTTAGAAATGGTATTAGAACTAAACTCCGAACTGTGACACCGGACAAAGGTGAATCGTGCATCCCACGTGAACAAAACAACCCTGAATTCTCCCACTCGAATGGTGTTGCTCTCTTTTAGTAAGTTATATTCCAATAGGTTATAATATTCCAACCAAGTGGGTCCCCGCCCCTACTCTCCACTCCCTTTTGTGCGTAGGCAAATTGCAGAAGAAGCTCTGTCCATGGCCTTGGCCCCATTCGCACACAGGCACCATTCATGATCCCAATAAAAACTTGCATTTACATTACGACAAAACCCTCCATTAATTTCTCATCACTCTCCTCTCTTTCTCACTCTCTACCGTCGAAGAAACACTCCCAAAACAACCCCACTTTCTCCCCCAAAAATGAAACCCGACCTTCCACCTACAATGGCCGCACTGAAGAAGGACTCTCCATCAGAAACTGGGGTCTCCTTTTTCCTCTCAAGAAAAGCTCGCTACAAGTTCTGGGTATTGGCCGCCATTCTACTCCTCGCTTTCTGGTCCATGTTCACCGGCTCCGTTTCCCTCAAATGGTCCGCCGGGACTTTCGCCAGATTCTACGACGGCCCCCGCAAGCCGATCTTCGATGATCTTGACATTCTGGTGATCCTTTTAGCCATTTCCATGGTGGGTTCTTGTTTTTTACTGTTGTTTTTTACTGTTTTAGTGTATTGTTTTGCTGAAAATTAGGAAGTTGAAGAGCGGGAGAGGGATGTCCGGCACATGTGGAATCTGTACTCCCATGGAGGCGGCGGCCGGTTGCCGCGATTCTGGTTGGAGGCTTTTGAAGCGGCATACGAGGATTTGATCGGCGATGTTCCCGCCGTTCGAGATGCTGCCCTTTTGGAGATCGCTAGGATGTCTCTGCAATCTGTTCATGTCGACCCAATCCCGATCAAGTCCAAGGTTAGCCGTCGAGATCAAACATTTTCTTGAACCCTGTCTTGTTTGTGAGACTGTTTCTGATTGAAATTGGTTTCTGAAACCAATGGGTTGGATCCTCTTGGCGATGAAAAGGTTCCTTTCTCTATTTTATTTTATTTTATTTCATTTCAAATGTCATATCAACATTAAAAATGTTTTTAAATAATTACTCTATTAATTAGGAAATGGAAAAAGGGTTCTTTAAGACTATTCCTATAAACAAGGATAATTAAGTATATTTTAAAATGGTAGGGATAAATGAATCTATTTCTGAAACTTATTTTAAAATTTTTAATCCCCTCCCTATGGCATGTGCATTTAATTGTTATAAAAGTGGCACCTACTTTTTTTTTTCTCTCTCTCTCTCCTTTTCTTTTGGCCACATGCAGTAATAACCATACTTGTTAAAAGTGGGGGTCAGGTCATGCTCATCCAAAGTGGGTGTCACGGTCATGCTCATTCAGGGGATTGCATACTTGTTCCAAAATTTGTTTTTAAGTCAGGTATGCACTGAGGTGTATGACTGGTTACCAAAATCATATCTACACATATTTACTACGGTGTATGATCGATAACCAAAATCATATCTACATTCGCAAGAGTGCTAGCTGTTAGGATTATACGCTATCAAAATCGTTATTTCTTATTTTTAGCTCATTACATTACTTTCTTTAAAATTGTTTTCAACGTATTTCATTGCTCTTGTTTTTTAAAACATCTCTCAAACGTGGCTGAGGCTCGAGACTATTGTTCGTGAAGTCCAAATTTTTCAAAGTGTTAGTGTAGTGAAATAGAATGAAACTTAAAAACAGTCTGCCATGTCTTGGTTGTATCCAACACCCAACTCTCAAACCAACGGCCTCCGGACACACCTCCCTAATAAGCATGGCACTTTACACAACCCATCACATGCAGCATTGTGCATGGAGTTCCAGGCTCCTACACATCATACATTATCAAATATAGCCTTTTGCTAACACTCAATAGAATAGGCCAGGCTATAAAAATGGTGCAGCACCATCCCAGCTCACAAATTGAACTATACACTAAAAGAAGTAAGAATTGAAGTTGCATGCCTAAGCATCGGAACATTCCATGACCACTGCTGCGCTATGCATAAAAGAAGACCAACAAAGGAAGTGAAACACAAAGAAGAATAAATTACCTCGGTTAGGTTAAATCCAATCCAGCTCAAAAATGTTTGTGACAGACAGACCCAATAAAACAACAAACCTAAGAAGACAAGACAGAGAGTTAATTGTCAAAATCGACGAGCAACAGACAAAATAGTCACTGCTGCTGCATCTCTATGATGTTTTGGTGGTGGTAATTGAGGTACAAAAAAAAAATCCATTTACATAAAGTTGGATGCAGTTATTTACATTTGCCTCCAAAGCTGCTCTCTTTCTTTCCTACTAGTCTTCAACCGTCTGAATCTCACCCATCATGATTCGGTTACTAACTACATTAAACCCCAAAACTGATGGATTGATCTTCTTTCCTTTCTTTCCTTTCTTCTTTCCTCCTCCACTTTTCGCCGACCCATCTCGGCCAGCAGACACGTCCGGGTCCAGATCCCCCCCACCAGCATTGCCGGAATTCACATCTCGGGAAGCCATTGCAGATACCTTCCTCTCGTTCCGACTTTGGAATGCAATCTCAATAATATCTGCTGGGAGCAACTCCTTGTAATTGAGGAATTGATCGATGAACTCATGGTCGGGATCATATGATCCAAGATTCTCTATCAAAAGCAGCTCTGCCTCAGATCTTGATTGCTTCAAGCAGAATTCCAGGAAACTCGTGTCTAGAAACAGGCAAATAAAGTTCATACGTTAAAAAGAACTGTACATTAGTTTCCCAATGATTAGAAGTCTCACAAAATGATACGTAACGGATGTTTATCATCTAAAATAAAAAGGCCTTGGTTTTCTCAAATATTTTGTCATGTCCATGTGCCACTCTGTGAGTGTTCTAATACTCCAGTGTGACAAAATCTCATAAATGTCAAATATCAAAAACATGGTGCATCCAATCCTCGTAGGACATATTTTTTCAAGATAAGAAACCATAATGCATTCACATCCATGCCTCAACGGACATGAATTCATAAGCAAAATGTCTATGTCTATCTTCAACCAGGCAAGAAAAGATACCTTTTGTCCCAATGAGCCTTACACATTCATTCTCACACCAATCACGGAAGCCCATAGCTTCTACAAGGTGAGGAAAAAACTTAATCATTATACATGCCAAAGAAGATTTTGGCAAGAAAAAGGGAAAGAAAAAAGGAAAAAAACCATAAAACACTAACCTGAATGTTTGGTAATTGGATCTTGCTTGCCTTTCTGAGACGATTGTGCAGGCGAGGACGAAAGATGGTCAGCTTTGCCACCAGATGATTTTTGTCGGCTTAACAACCCAGTTGAAGCTACTGCTTTTACAGGGGTGTTCCTATTTCCCCAGTTTCCGTGGCTCCCAGGACGTACATCAACCCTGAAAAAAAAACATTGCTTTATTTCCCTTGAAAACCAGAATCATATAGCAGCAATGGTGGCTACAATGGAAAAAAAAAAGCTACATTGTTACAAAGTATACACAGATCAAAACTCTGACCCAGAAGAGGGGGGTAAAACCATACCGCTGATTCTCTTGCTTCGACTCAATGGGGCCCCAAAATAGGTCATCATCACCTCCATGTTTTGACTGAGTAGCAATATTCTGAAGGGGGGTTGATGCAGCCTTCGATGGGGAAGATGCAGAGAGAGACCAGGAAGGAGTAGTAGTGCGGCTGCTACGACCAACCTGAGTAGGCTGAGCCTTTTGGGGAGTAGAGATTTGTTGAGGATGCTGAGCAGCAGAGATTTTTCTTTCCTGCTCCATCTGAATATCCCTCAAAGATGTGGGTTTGGCGACCTTCCCAGAGTCACTGGACCATGCTAGAGCAGGGGCCACATTAGCAACTTCTCCCTTCCACAGAACAAAATCACCAAAAGAAGGCCCAGAAGGAATGGCGGGCATCGCTTCCTTCTCTTGCTGCATCTGGCGGGAGATTTTCCCCTTCTCAACGGGACTTAAACCAACAGGCACATCAGCAGAAGGGACTGCAGAGGAGGCCTTGGTACCAATACCCTTAGCCTTAGCAGACTTCTTGCGGCTCTTTTTTGTGTCTTTTGCCTCAATAAAATTTTCATCCATAGGTTCTGCTCGCACGGCCATGACCTGAGGAGAGGAAGCAATCTGAACAGTGTCAGAAACACGAACATCACCTGCACCAGACTTTTCCATATCATCTTCCGCCAGCAGATCATGCAATTGGCTCTTTCTACTTCTTGAAGTCAATAAATTTTCATGTTTCTCACTTGATTCTGAATTCACAGAATCTTTATGAATTTCTCTGGAAGCTTTTGGGTCTGAACTGCTCACGATTCCAGCCCAAGGAGTTGATAAACTCATAGTGTTAATAGAAGTTGAAATGTCTGATACAACAGTTTCTGTATGTGCCATTTTCTGCTCTTCCTCCTGAATCTCCAATAAAGACTTTGGCTTGAAATTCGAAGCAATTTTCCAAGCTCTTTGACCAGATTGAGTTTGTGAATTAAGCACAGAATCAGACCCACTTAGTCTGGACTCATCCCTCACTGGAACAGTTTCACCATCGTTCCAGGAATTTACAGCAGAGGCAGAGCTTTGATCTAGCTGACTATCCACAATGGCAATTTTGCCATCCCCATCTCTGATCTTCCGAGGAGAGCAAGCCGTGTCACTTGATTTTCCCACAATATTATCTGACTTCAATTTCAAATCATTTTCTGATTTCCCACTTTTTGATTGCTTTGACTGCTGAATACCAGAATTCTTAAAGTCCTTGGCCTGGTCAGAGGACAGCAACTTTGAAGATTTTTGCTTCTTGGTCTTTTTATCAGAAGATTTTCTAGGTTCTTGTACCTCAACATTTTTCACTTCTGCCTCTAAGGAGGTTTCATCTCTGCTTCCATCCCTTGCCAGCTTTTCCATAGGCATAATAGCTTCTTGAACCTTCACAGCAGGTACACTGTTGGGAACGGAAATTTCAATATTATGAACTGCTGCTGGTGGTATAGCAACTGAGATTTCAGCATTCTTGAGAGGAAGAGGTTCTACAGTAGCATCATCGGATGCAAAAGATGTGACAGTTGCATCCAGCCTTGGTACATCCTCCGATATTTTTTCCAAAGTTTTAATAATAGTGTGGCTATCAGATGACTTCGGTACAAGATTCACATCCTCATTTGATTTGCTAGACATCCCAGGCAAAAGTGAGCCCTCAACAACATTAGATCCAGGTATAACATCTTTTGGACGAGTATCATTAAGCTGCTCGGGGATAGCAGCAGTCCAACTCTTCTGCTGAACAACATTTCCAAACATTTGAGGTGGAAGAATAAGGGACGGATCTTCCGAATTAACATTGTAACTGGCTCCTTGGGTAGCTTGCAGAGCCATATTTCCGTAGGTAGTCGCATGATCAGTTAGTACATTTAAGGGCTTTTGTGAACCAATCTGAAACTTCTCTCGTGATAGCTGGACTTGTGATGGATCATTAGATGCATTTCCAATAGGTATAGAAGCGCCGTGCAACTGTCCAAAAGATGGATCGACAAAATGCTGATGTGACTGATGCTCTGATAGAACCTGGGAGAGCAACTGCTGCTGCTGCTGCTGTAATAACTGTTGTTGCTCCTCTTGTTTTTGCTGCTGCTTAAGTAATAAAATTTTGTCCAACAACGACATTTGTTGTGCAGAGAAAGGCACTTGTGAATGCAACTGCAACAGGTGCTGTTGTTGCAATTTACTTATCAGTTGTGGATCTTGAGATAAGCTGGAAGGAAGAAACTTATCTGAAGTTAAGGTAGAATTATCAGTAGCTTGAGCAAGCAAATTTGTTAACGGCGGCTGTGGTTGTAATCTCTGTTGTTGGAAACCAAAAGGTGCCTGCGAAGACAAGTTAAGATCATGGTGCAAGTCAAGTTTACTTTGGAGAGGATCGGGAGCACACTGTGAAGCAAATTTTGACCAGCCAGCAACGTCATTAATGCCAGGAGGTGCTTTGTCAGACAAGCCTTGCAGAATGGCCGAC